TGACAGATGACTACACAGGTATGCCTGATCCGATCAATGACTTTTTTTAATATGATGACTTGATGTGAAAGACGAAGATACAGAAAGACTTTTCTCATATATATATATATATATATATATATATGTATATTAGTAATTTATTTCTCTAGAGCCCGTGCCAGGTACCGAGTCCAAAGCGGAGAGCGAGCGAGTGAGACAGTTTGAAAAAGAGGAGGGAGGTCGAGACAAGGAAGTAGAGGAATGGGTAGAAGAGAGGGAGTTTAAGAATAGAGCAGAGAAATGATAATCATGGTAATTTGTCCTTAGGGACAGTGAAGGAGAGAATGGAAAAAAGGGAGATGTAACAGAGAAACACAGGCTGTAAGAATAGGAGAAGTAGCAGTGACACAGAAGGGAGAGGAGCACACTTAAATCTGCTAAAGTTTGGAAGCTTTTTTTATTTATGGGCGCGTGTCTGTGAGGGTGTCCATGCTCACGCTTTTGTATCATCCGTTACACAAGCACGCGTTCACTCCATCTGTCTCCATCTCAGCCTGAGCTCCCTCTATCACACATGTACACACATTCACACTAGTCATATACAGTCTCACGTGCAGAGGGACTCAAACACTCGCTGGCATTATACTTAATGTCACTCGTGCAGGCCTTCACATATGTATACACACACACACACACACACACACACACACACACACACACATCACACGCCCACAACACAGATTTGGCAGTTTGGCAGTCTGAGCGAATAACAGCGAGATAAAGAATCTCAAAGGTGACAAACATTGTTATTTACCTTTAGGGCTAATTCTTCTCTCTCTCTCTCTCTCTCTCTCTCTCTCTCCCTCTCTCTCTCTCCCTTTTGTCTGCTTCCATCTGGCTTGCTTTTAAAAGCATTGCAGAGGCCAATCATTCACACTGAAAATAAAACACAAGTGCCCAAATGGGTCTCTTTCCCCTCACTCATCAAAACACTTACCGTGTGCTCTCAGCACATCATAAATCACATTTATTAACAGCAACATTTATGCCCTTATAAGCCCATAAATCTCATTTCCACTGGTGTACCTAAACCTGTGCAGTGGAGGGTCCACATGACGATTATTGTAGAGTGTTAAAATAAGACAGTGTGGCAAGATGATGACAAGCTCAGCTTCAAATCATGTTTGAAGACAGATGTGATGGAGACAAATCTGTAGACTGGGGCAAGGTGTATATGTACCGTAGCTCTCCTTGAGATGTGTATGCTTTGTCAGTCATGGCTGTCACATAGATTACTCAGTTTAGGAGTAAAATAAATAATTGTTTTCAGCTTCCTAAGTCTTCTGGGATACATTTCTATCTGAATACTAACTAAATCCTGATATTTTTGCCCATTCTTCTTGCCAAAAATTGCTCAAGCTCTGTCAGATTGGATGGAGATCATTGGTAACCAGCAATTTTAAAGTCTTGCCACAGATCCGTAATTGGACTGAGGTCTGGGCTTTGACGGAGCCATTCTAACAAATTCAGCTTCTCGGTTTTTGAACCAGAAGTCTCATGCAAACTGGAACAAAGTTACTTCTAGGATTGCCCTGTATTTGGCTCCATCCATCGTTCCCTCAATCCTGACCAGTTTCTCATTCCCTGCTGTCGACTACATCCCTACAATGTGATGCCACCACCACCATGCTTCACTGTGGGTATGGTGTCCTCAGGGTGATAAGAAGTGTTGGATTTCCACCAAGAGGCCAAACAGTTCAATCTTGGTCTCATCAGACCAGAGAACCGTTTTGCAGAGTCTCCAAAATACAAGTTTACCACAAGGTATGTTTTTTTGAAAATTTTAATTCTTGCCACTCGTTTCTTTGTGAAGTGTCTGGGCTATGGTTATCCTGTGAACAGCTTCTCCTGCCACAGCTGCCTTAGTCTCTTGGTTGCTTCTCAGACTAATGCCTTCTTTACCTGATTACTGAATTTGGTGGACTGCCTCCTCTAGGAAGAGGCGCAACTGTGGCGTACTCTGTCCATTTTTTACTAGGATTTAATGGTGCTCTGTAAGATGTTCAAAATGTGGGATATTTGTTTTTATACCCAAAAACAATGTCTTAGACTTGGTCTTTGTGATACCAATTACTTAGGTATGTTCTCTAACAAACTCTGGGGCCTTCCAGGAACATCCCCACAATATGATGCTACCACCACCATGCTTCACTGTGGGTATGGTGTCCTCAGGGGGAGAAGTAGTGTTGGATTTCCAACACTTCTGATCACTCTGAACATACCCAAACAATGGGCATCCACATTCCCCAGGAATCATGTGACACTTTAATTGCACACAGGTGGACTTTCATTCATCGTATTATGTGACATCTGATGGAAACCAGAACCAATTAATGGGTTCCTATGCAACAGGGTCGAAAGCTTCTACAGTTACTACTTTTTCTTTACTTTTACTTATATTTTTATTTGTAAATAGTTTAGCTATAAGTATATTTATTCCCCCCCCCTCTTCAATATTATAGGCTGTTTTGTGTAGATTCATGACATCTATAATTCCAATCGAGTCCATTTCAGTTCCACTACAAAAGGTGGAAAAGTTCAGGGTAGGTGAATACTTATGCACAGTCAGATACGTTTCGTCCCAGGCTAGTCCAATTCCATGATCTTACACTAGGTTAGAGATATTCCTGTGGTCTGTGGTGCACTAAAGGCCGCTTGTTAGAATGAATAAAAATGCATCCCAATGGCCAGGTATCCAAGCGTAAAAAGGATTCACAGGGGAAGGACAGAGGAAGGTGGAAGAGGGAGGAGAGAAGCACTTCCATGCTATGGCAACATTGACAGCTGTTATAATTTGAACATGAATTAGTTCCAGCTCATGCTGAGTCGAAACAGCACTTTTTCCTCTGCTAGTGCTGATGATTTGGTCCGATTCAGACAGTAGAGAGGAGGAAGAGACTCAGGCTCCCTGTGGACTCCCTTTTTTTTAAAGGGGATCTATGGATATCAGCAGGCCGCAAAAAACTGCTCCTGAAATCATACCACACACTTTTTGGATTGGTCCCTAAATCCATGTAAGGCCATGTTAATACTAGGCACTTTCACGCTGTTTTTTTCTTCTCCGAATCAGGCAACTGAAGAATGGACCAGCAGGGCTAACTGGCAGTACCTTCTGGGTCATGGGGTTTAGCAAGCATTCAATCTCAAGGGCATTTAGTCAGAGAGCAGGAGGGAAATGGATGATGGATCAGGAGGATAAGGCAGGAATAAGCAGCATGTGCTGTGCTGACTAAGCTGTTAGCAATTTAGCAGAAAAATAAACACACACACTTGGAAAAGTAAGGTTCTCTCCATAGTCATGGAGGTCTATGACTGTACTGACCCTGCATTAGGGGGGCACTATTAATTTACTAGTTGAACAAAAAACAAAATATGATACAAAAGTGTATTGTTGCAGTTAAATGGTGTTAAATAAAAGCGAAGAATGCCTCAGTGCATTTTAGGCTTCACTGTTAATAAAAAAAATAAAATCAGTGCAATAAAATTGCAAAATAATAAATCTGTGTGTCATATTGTAATATTTATGTACATACCAATTCTTAAAATGGACAATATGGCTCAGCTAAAAATAATCGACCCTGGAACTGAGAGCGAGCAGCATGGAAGCTCGGGTCCGTCCTTATAGCTCAGTGACCAGCCTGTCTTGAATGGAAGACAAAGAAAAAGAAGAAACCTTTATTTGTCACATATACATTATAGTACAGTGAAATACTTTTCTTCATATGTCCCAGCTTCTGAGGAAATTGGGGTCAGAGTGCAGGGTCTTCCATGATAAGACACCCCTGGAACATATAGGGGCCTTGCTCAAGGGCCCGACAGAGGAAGCTTGGCAGTACTGGGGCTTGGGGGTTCAACTCAAAGCCTTAACCACTGAGCCACCAGTGCAGCAGCATCTGGGAGGATTTTCCAGGCTGATAATGATCTGAGAGTTGTATGGCTTGGTCTCTGGCCTCTACACTTCATACAATGTGATCTCGAAGTCATTACATTCCATTAAACCAAAGGAGGAAAAAAAGACACCATGTGCAATGTACTGTATAATTGGCTGCATTTGGTCTAAAACATTTCTAGACTAACAAAGTACATTTAGCCTGCTTTCTTTTATTATTATTATTTTTTTTTTACCATCACAGTTTTTTCAACTGCCCAGCTAGTCAGCAGTCAGCAGTCCCCGCTAGTGAATGTATTAACCGACTAGCCTATGCAACGCCTACTCTGCAGTGGCTGAAAATTGATATGAACTGAATTAATATTGACCTGAGAAATATCGTTAGGCAGACATTATCTATTACTCAGCGATTTTGAGGAGAACCCTCAAGCCCGCAATCGGTGGAATACATCAGCAGACCACATAGTTCTCCCTTGCTGAGCAAAGGGGCACTGAGGGGAAGGTGGCAAATGATTTTTCTTCTCTTGTCAGAGTCTGGCAGAATGCCTTCTTGCAGAATAACAGGAGTTAAAGTGATTCCCATTGTTCAGCAGCTTGGCAGGGAGGCAGAGTGAGAGAGAGAGAGGCGGACAGAGAGAGAGAAGTCATTTCTACTATAATGGGAGTGCACTCCACAGGGTGCCTACATCACTCTGATGAACTTAACCGTTTGTATGGCACCATGGATGTCTCTCACACTCAACCGCAAGCTTGCTGCTTGCTCTCCCCGAGAAATGCAAGGGATGCTGGGAACATGTGAGCATCATTAATAAGAACCCAGAGAAAGAGAGAGTGAAGATCTGCTCAAGTGAACTTCACCATTCCAGACTAATCCTGTAGAGACCCCAGGTCTCATAATGTGCAGGTCTGGCCAAACAAACCTCTGCCCCGGTTCTCTAAAGCAGTGGGGTGCAGTGACGCCAGGGATCGGTGAAGTATAACCTGAACATAACCTGTACTCTCAAGGGTTTGGATGTTAGTCATGCCCTGGACTTGTTTCTATTTAGGATGGATATGTGGGCTAAGACAGCGGTCTCTGGTGGTCTAGCGGCAAAGGATCCTGCGCTCTCACCGCCGTGGCCCGGGTTGGATTCCCAGGTAGGGAACCAACCCAGCCACTGAGGGTGTACTCTCCGTGCTGGTCCCAAGCATCCGGCACGAAACCTGTGGCAAAATGAACATGCGGACCATGTGGCGACTCCTAACAGAAACAGCCGAAAGACAAAGAATTTGTGGACACCTGACCATCATAACCATACATGCTTTTTGAACATCTCATTCCAGATTTAGTCCCAAACCACCATCACTCTTCTGGGAAGGTTTTCCATTAGATTTTGGAGTAGTGCTGTGGGGATTTGCTCCACATTAGTGAGCATTAATGAGGTCAGGCACTGATGTTAAGCGAGAAGACCTGGGGGTGCAGTCACCGTTCCAGTTCATCCCAAAGGTGTTCAGTGGGCTTGAGGTCAGGGCTCTGTGCAGGACACTCGAGTTCTTCCACTCCAACCTTCACACACCATGGAGCTCGCTTTGTGCACAGGGGAATCGTCATGCTGGAACAGGTTTGGGCTTCTTAGTTCCAGTGAAGGGAAACTGTAAAGCTACAGCACACAGAGACGCTCTATACAGTTGTATGCTTCCAACTTTGTGGCAACAGTTTGGGGAAGAACCACATAAGGCTTTGATCATCAGATGTGCACATACCTTTTGGCCATGTAGTGTATGATTCATTTTGGCATGAGTCTAGCATTTTAAAGTCTGGTTACACCCAAAAGTGAAAAGCGTACCTCTACATTTACAACTTAATCTACTTATGGAAAAGCAACATTACTGCTAAATTTTACAGAAAGTCCACATCACCTGAGGTAAAAGCCAGTTCGGACCAGTTGGCTTAATTTCTTGTTATGAACCCCGTGTCTTTTTATTAGTGCATTTAAACATTTGAAACAGTGTGTAAGATCTCTTCTCTGATTTGATGATGATGATGATGATGATGATGGTGATATGGTTTAGGAGCATCACAGACATTTTGACAGCCGTTTCTGATCACAACCTTGACTTATTAGGCTTACGTCCATGTATGGAATTATCCAACAGCTTCAAATCAGGGCATCTTCAGACAGACTGACATGCAGGCAGATGCTAAGGCATGGCTAGAAAAGATCCTAAATAAGAAATATTTCCATGTCTTTTGGTAAAATATATTGATGTTTCTTTAAAGTAGAGATGTCAAAACCACATTCTCCACAATTCAGCTGACAGGTTTTTGCAGACTGCCACATATACGTTGTTTATTCATCCCTTTTTTTTTTGCGTGAAGTGCATCTAAAATACAGGTCTGATAGTAATGCACGCAGCATTTAAATACTGTCGTGGACTCATACACATTTGAAATGCACCTCCCAGTGCATCAGCCACCCTGCAGGGTTCTGGGTCGGCTCCTGTTTACCGATTTACCCCAATACTGTCTCTCTCTCTCTCTCTCTCTCTCTCTCTCTCTCATGTAAATTGAATCTGATCTGATTTTCCTAAGATGCAGGTTTTAGCTACAGCTTATGAGCACACACACACACACGCCCAGGATTTGGCTGTGCCTCATTCAGTGCTAATTAAAATGACCTGAGCCTCCTACACCTGGCATAGCTGGGGTGGAAGAGGTTTCAATTTGTTCTTCATGTGCTTATAAAGTTTGGACAAAATGGTGCAAAATAATCTCAGTAGTGTTGATAAGAAAGAAATAATTAGGTGATGGCTATAATTCCAGTAAGCGCAACCGAGTTCTGTGTGCATGAAAAGATCCATAATTAAAACTGTGGTGGTTCATATGAGCCTCTTTTTAATTTGCTGTGTTTATTTATTTATTTATTTATTTATTTTATTTACTTACTTACTTACTTATTTATTTATTTAAAATGCACTGACAGTAATATTCACAGCTGGAGACACAGCTTGCTCACACATGTCCGCCTCCTTCTCGAGCTGCTTCGATCTCTTTTTCTGCTTCCATCCCTTCATCTCTCTCTCTCTCTCTCTCTCTCTCTCTCTCTCTCTGTCTGTGCTTGTCTCCTTTTTGTAATCTTTCCATCTATCCACCCCTCCTTCATTTATACACATCTTTTCTTTTTCACTCCGTATAGCTGTCCGTGCTTTATTACTCTCACTTTTTAAAAAAAATACTAAGTCCAGTTGTTTGTTTGTGTGTATTCATGCTACGTAAGCGAATAGCTCGCATGCTCGAACGTCACTTCCACGCGGCGCAGGATTTATTCTGCGCCCGTGTGCCAGATTTACCCCCTCTGTCCTGTTTTATTATGGTGCATATTCATTCTCAGCAAGTGCGAGTTGTGCGAGTAAACCGTAGCGGCGCTATACAACCCTACGCAATGCGAATGCTGTGCCGATGTCACCTTTGCGGGAACGTCATGTCGGTTTCTCGGTTGTTGAAACACTTGGCATTTATACGTATCTTCATACGTATATCACGTAGACTTTCAAACATCACACGTCATGTATCATTGCAAAGCAGTGCATTACGCCTCAAAAACGCCCTGAGAGACTCAAAGCCATTTGCACTCGATGCAAAAGCTAATGAGCCAGTCAGTCAGTGCAACGCTGAAGTCAAATGGAAAGAGCACTTTGTCATTGTTCACACAGAGCAGCTCACAATAATCTCATCGATATGCAGTGTTATGGTGCCGCAATGAAACCGCCATCTTCTTTTTTAAAATTTACTTTGTTTTTGTTTTTTTTTAATCCATATCAAAAAGGTCCTTTGATTCGAACCCCAAGAAATTTTACACTTCCAGCTTTGAAACATATTAAATATTTATATATGGTAATATTTGCAGTATGCTAATTTGTTGGTTGAGGCTGTATTTTCGTTATTTGGGATTGTGTGTGTGTGTCGCGCTGATGTCACAGTGGGAAATTTCAGCACACAGTGGCATTTATAAGAAGGAAAAAAAATCTTTCCGTGATCTCAAACATAAGAGGTGACGCGCTTTCTTTTCTCACGCGCCGTTCTCCTGTGATATTGTCACATTAAATGAGAAAGTCCGACGCAGAAGCAGCGAAGGCGTTGGCGCAATTATCGGACTGATGGACCCAGAATGCATTGCAGCTGTATGATGCGGTTGTGCCGAGTTAGAGGTAGAGATCTACGATCTACGGTAATGACATGAGAATGATGGTGTCGATGACAGTGGAGCTTTGGAAGCTGATCTGTTTGAACAGATGAGGAAGTTAGAGAGCTGGACAGACAAAAACACTAAAGCGCCGCTGCATTTCTCTTTAGGTAGAGATGAATTGCCACTGGCAGTACTCGTCAGCAGGTAGTCAATTGGCATTGTGGGTAATCGGTGTGCGAGTGATTCAGGGTGGGATTATTTTCCTTTTAACTTTTGTCTTTGGCCTTAAAATTTTTCTCATCCACCAGAAGATTTTCTGCCTGCATTTTAAATGATATTTGTAAGTGTTTTACAGGCTTGTGACACTTCACGTTTCACTTACAAAAGATGTCCGGCGGAATTTCCAAGAAAACGTATTCTGCCTGTACAAATGGACTGAGTGTTTTGCATTATCCGCTACAGGAATGCGTGAGGAGTGTGTGAATTGCCTCCATCTGGTGAAGTGCAAATCACAGGATCACGAAATGGTCATTTTCGGTTTTAGTCCCGAAGACATTTGCATACAGGACCAGCTTGAGAGCGGGTGTGAGTCTGCAACGATCACTCTGAGCATTCTCTTAGGGACTGATTCGCGTCTGCAGAAAATAAATGAAGGACGAGCTGCGTTTTTCTCCAGACAGCGAGTTTGCAACAACAATTGACACTAGAGGAATTGCCGTAATCATATTCCGGCAAAGGATCTAGTATATAAATGTCTCGATAAGTTTCCTCTCACACTGTTTTATAAAGCATTGTCTGGACGTACTTATTCTGATGATGCAAATACACACACTCACACACTCTCTCATTTGTAGGCCTCGCCACTAAACGTCTACGCTGCACTCGTACTAAACGAATGGAGATTTTATTCATGCGATTTTCAAGCAATGCACGAGCTTTAGCCAGCTAGACACTTTTTAATGACTCTCGTAACTCAACATACCACTCTCCATGGCAGCATAAAGCTCTTCCACCGATAACACTGTTTGGCCACCACTTTCTCCCCCCCACCTCGCTCTCTCTCGCTTCTCATCATTGCCCCTGGATTAATAAGCAGACACGTTTTTGTAATTTTCTTTCAGCTTAGGTTCTCATTTCTGTGCAAGCATTTTTTCCTCTCTCCATTGTACTCTCGTCAGTCGCTGTACCTTTTAAACCCCTAGAAGTAATTGTGCTATGTGTTTACCAGACTAAACCTATATTAAACTGTGGACCCCTAATTAACTCCTACCCATGTCTCCTGTCTGTGTCTCTCCTTCTAATTGGATACCTATTCAGTCCGGCTAATTCGTGCAGTGACGCCGGCTGTGATTAGATGGGAGAGCTAAAATCTAATATCTTGTGTGCAGTTTGTACTTTCGTTCGACAACATGGGATTAATCCCAGGTTCTCAAACATTGCCTCTACTACTTCAATATATCAATCAAACAAATCATTATAAAGAAACGCTGCCCAAATGGATCTCATCAAGTAAAAATATCTTAATATTTAAAGATATTTTTTTACTTATTTCAGGCTTGAAGTTGTTTTATTTGGTCATAGAATCCAGAGAGTTGAATGCAAATGCAGAATTTCCTTAATAATGAGGAGCAACTATAAAAACAAGAAGTGACTGGAAAAGGCTCCAAAAACTAGAACAACTAATACAAGGAACTAGACTTAGGCAAGGCAAAGCAAAGAATAAAATAAAAGAAAACTCAACATGAAAACAAACAGACAAACAAAAAAAACCCACTCAGGGTGCATATATATATATATATATGTATGTATATATATATATATATATATATATAAAACACCAACCACAAGATCAACCACACACAAACACACAATGCTCTATCACTAAGGAGAGAAAACACAGAACTTAAATAGGGAACTAATGAGGGAAACACTAAACAGGTGAGCACAATCAAGGAAGGAAACAAAGCAGACAACAAAAG